TAAAAATAAAAATTAAAAATTAAAAAAATAAAATATATATACACACTTATCTGACAATATAGTGTGTAAATATGCCAATGGTGTATACGTATATCTCTAAACCCAACCTAACATTAATGACACTAGGATAGGCCCTATTCTAATCCAATTATCTACCAAATGACAAACTGGCTTTTTTAGGTATATAGTATAGGAAATATGTGGTGGGGGCTAATCAGAACAGAGTACCGGCCTACCCCTAATTCCAATGTACCCCCACCACACTTCCCGCCAGACCTCTACAAAATCCCAAGAAACATAGAAAACTATGTAAACTGATACAGGTCTAATATGTGTTATCATAATCTAAGTGTCACTAATAAAACATGATAAATCAAAATCCTTGTTCAAACCTCCTGGTGCTAAACTACCTAACTCATAAATCCAAAAAGATTCCTTTTTGCTTATTTCACGTACTAAATTATCCCCCCTCCAATGTGAGTTGTGTTTAGTGATACCCCAAAATTCTATTTTCTCTATATCTTGATTATGGTGAATTTTGAAATGTACTGATAAATGATGATATTTGAACCCAATATCAATATTATGTACGTGTTCTTGTATGCGTTCTTTGAGACTTCTCTTTGTGCGGCCTATGTATAGATAATTACATGGACATTTTAAGGCATACACTACACCTCTACTATCACAAGAAATGAATTGGTCTATCTTGTATTGCTTTCCATTCCTCGGATTTGTAAATGACTCTCTACATCTTGGATTAGAGTGTGTTTTTCTACAACTGTAGCACCGACCACATTTATAAAACCCAGTTCCATTAAAGAAACTTAAAGTTTTTTCAATGTATGGGGGGGTTCTAGCACATTTTTGACTACTCGATCCCGAATATTCGGTGCCCTTTTATAAATAAACCTAGGTTGTTCCTTAACGATATTCTTCAAGGTTTTATCTAGTTGGAGTATATTCCAATGTTTATTTATAATTTTCTGAACATCTCTATATTGTCTATTATACGGTAATATTATTGATAATTCTTGTTCTTTAACCTTATGTTGTATCTTTTTTTCTTCTAATAATATTTTTCTATCTATAAATTCTATTCTGCTTCTTTCATCCAATATAGTTTCTCTCTTATAACCCTTATCCACAAACCTCTGAACGAGTGTTTGGCTTTGCTCTCTATAATCTTCAACATTAGTGCAATTACGTCTCAACCTGAGAAATTGTCCCCTCGGGACATTTTTAATCCATGGTCTATAATGACAGCTATTAACAGGGATATATGAATTACGATCATTTTTCTTGAAATAATTTTTTGTTATTATACCTTCACCTGTATTCACTAATTTCAGATCTAGAAAATTAGTTTCTTTATCATTGATGTTCCAACTCAATACAATATTTTTGGTGTTTAAATTCAAATTTTGGTAATAATCAATCAATGATAATGTGTCTCCTTTCCACAATAGTATAATATCATCGATAAATCTACCATATACAGCTATATTGTTGTTTATATTAGTGAATACTACTTCCTCCTCCCATTTTGCCATATATAAGTTGGCAATACTAGGTGCAAAACGGGCGCCCATGGCAACACCCCTTACTTGCAAGTAGTACTCACCCTTATACCAAAAATAATTATGGCTGAGACAAAATCTAATGCATTTAATCAAAAATTTAATTTGCTTTTTAGAGAGAAAAGAATATTTATTCAAAGCCCAAGTTGCTGCGTCTATTGCTCCAGTGTGATCAATTATAGTATACAATGAAGAGACGTCTGCTGTACTTAAAATTAGATTACTCCTCTTCTCCACTGTTTGAATAATTTTAATCACATGTGTAGTGTCTTTAATGTATGCTTTTGTTTTCTCTACCAAGGGTTGAAGAAACTGATCTATGTACTGTCCAATCCTGGATGTTAACCCATCTATACCATTAACTATTGGTCTCATAGGAGGATCTTTTAAACTTTTATGTATTTTCGGTATTGAGTATAGAATTGGTATTTTACTCACCGAGGGCACCAAGTATTTTGCTTCCTTTTCATCTAAAATGTTTCTTTGCTTTCCATATAGTATTAATTTACTCAATTCTGTTTTATATATCTTTGTAGGATTACTAGTCAATTTACAAAGTATCAATATCTTCTAGCATTTTACTCATAGAAATTTCATATGAGTCCTTAGATAATATTACTATTCCCCCCCCCCCTTGTCGGCTATGCAGACTATGCAATAAATAGGGATATTTTGTTCACACATTTTGCAATACATGTTTAAGCTGGCCAACTGCATCAAAGTAATCCCTCTATGGCCAGTCCTACTCTGCTCTGCCTACGTAAATGCTACTGTGGACACAATGCTAGCATAGGGGAAAAGACACAATGGGGAGAGCTACAAGGTTCAGGTCTGGCTACTGACCCAACAATAAAACAAACAAACAAGAGATCCCTGTGCTCAAATCCCAACAGCTAGTGCATGCATTTATCCATCAGGTGCTAAAGGGGTGTAACCACATATTAACACTAGAGATTCTGAAGACCCTCTGCACACTGGTATATACCCTTTCAAGCAGACTATGCAATAAATAGGGATATTTTGTTCACAATTAGGGATATTTTGTTAACTGCGTCTTAGCACTCCATCACGCAGCACTCACGCAAAAGCAGCACCCCATCTGTGACTGTCCCCCCATTTGTGATGGTAATAATAGTATTAATGAGTAGGCTAGAGAAAAGTGAAATTCAATATGGAAATGAATATATGACATTACATTTTGACCACATACTGTATACGCTTTAACAAAAGCCCTTGTTTATGAAGCACACCAGCCCAAACCTATGTATGGTACATGGCCAGACTTTGGAGCAACCACAGGCATTACTGTTAGTATTCAGTTCCAGAGATGGTATATAGAACCTTAAACAAAATGATTAATGGATAGCAGTTTTTGCAAATTGCAGCCAATCCAATCATGGACAATTTTACCTTTTTTATCCCATGTCTATCCATTTCCCCAAATCTGTACTTACACCTCCAAACTAACCCAAACTTGTTAGGTAAAGACTGGGATAATACATTAAACCAGGGCTGTCCAAACTGTGCACCATGATGGCTATGAATGAGGCCGAACACAAAATCCTAAACGTACTTAAAGTAGAACTTTAGTCAGAAAATTAAGTCCTGTTAGATGTCTTCAAGCTGGTCCCTTTTGCAGGTATAACTATGCAAACATTAAAAATAAGTACCTATACTGTTTAAATTCCAGTAATGCACTGCCTCGCCAAGCTCTGCACATGCTCAGTTTTTATGCACTGTGCTGTAAATCAGAGTTGATAAAAGCCAATCTGCTAACAGCCTAAAGATTTATTGCTGCTTAAGGGCTCTGGGTTTCAGCAAAATGGCAGCCTCCAGCAATAAGAAACAGGAACAATGCTGGAGGCAATTTACAGCACACACTATTTTTTTCTTTTAACAAACAGGATTCTTTTATTGAAGACGTAAGCAATACATGGCATGCCAGGAATCAATTGACATTGTAAATTGCAAACACAAAGTAGACAAGTAGGTTCAGAAAATAACAATGCAGTCCAACAGGTCATGGCAGCATTTAAGCTATTACTCTATTAGACTTCCAATGAGGGGATAGGATTAGATGACGGCACAAGTCTAGCTCACCAAGATACTGCCCGCACACACTAATGTTGGTAGCATAATTATTAAAGTGGCTTGTACAGCATGTTCCTTGCTAAAGGACATTATTTATAGCAAGATGTTATGGGTAACATTCCTCTTTAAAAATGTTGAGATTTTTTGGAATTTTTTGTAAAAATGCATTTACACTTAGCGAACATATGCCGCTGAAGAAAAAAAATCGACAGTGTCTCTTTAATGGACTTTTATAAGTTTTACCAAAGAAAAATACCCCACTCTTCACAATCACGCATAATTCATATCAGTTTTCGGCAACACCTACATTTGTGTGAGATACTATTTTCAAGGATGAAGCACAGGAAGGGCAAAAGTAGAACCAATATATCTGATGAGCATTTGAAAACTCAAATATCACACTAGTTTTTTTGTTGCCCTCTTACTTTTATAATAAAAAATATTACAAAAAAAAAAATGAAGTTAACTTGTAATCTGCCCAATTTTTTCTGTTTATCAGCTAACCTTATTGTTTGTGTATTTTATGTGTGGCCCAAGACAATTCCTCTTCTTCCTTTGTCAAAGTCAAAAGGTTGGACACCCTTGCATTAAACCAAATATTACCCTATCCTAAGGCCCCTTTCTGAAGGGCATTCCCACCAGGTCTGTCTGTCAAATTTCTAGGTGGAGCTGATCGGAAAGTTCATTTATCTCAATGGAGACATGGGCGTAAAAGTCTATGTCTGGGTCCAATCAGGACCGCTAAAAAAAAAAACGGGAGAAGACTCTAGTTTCTATCGGTGTCTGCTCTGCAGAAATTGTGCGGACATGGATGTGTCACCTGCCAGCTACTCTGATCAGTAGGGGATGGGTTTGGATGTTTTTATCTATATTTGTTTGTGAGTAAGTAGGGGTACTATGTACACCATACTCATTCACATGGGGGTTGTGGGGCTTCCAGATTCTGATAAGCCTCCTGCCTGCAAAACCCCATAACCATCAGCCACAGTTGCGGGGAAGAGGCCCTTGTCCCCCCTCCCCATGTTTAGGACGTATGATCTGCTATGTTAAATTTTTTTTCTGATCAGCCAGGCTGTATGCTCAGGTTAAGGGTACCCCATTGTTTTTGTTTTTTTGGGTTTTTTTTTGCATGAATATCCCTCTTAACCACCTGCCGCCCGCCATATAGTACAATGACAGGCGCAAGGTGGTTCTCTCGTTCTGGGACGACGTCATATTCTAACCACGCATGCTCGGCTCCAGGAGCGTGCAGCGCGGCGATCGGTGGTGCGCCGTGTCCCTCGGACACAGTGGATTACCGATCAACGGAAAGAGCCGAAGATGTTGGCTCGGTCATGTGATCAGCTGTGTCCAATCACAGCTGATCACATGTAAACAGGGAAATGTCGGTTATCGGCATTTCTCTCCTCACGAGCTGTCACGCTGACAGCTCAAGAGGAGAGGAGAGCCGGTAATCAACATTCCTCGGACGGGACATGTACACTGATCATCAGGGCACTGATGATCAGTGTGCCCTGATGATCTGTGTAGCCCCAGCAGTGCCACCTACAGTGCCACCTGTCCGTGCTCATCCATGCCACCTGCCAGTGCCCAGCAGTGCCACATAAGTGCCACATTTCAGTGCACATCAATGCCACATATCAGTGCCCATCTGAGCTGCCTTTCAGTGTCACCCATCTGTGCCAGTCAGTGCCACCTATCAATGCCAGTCAGTGCCACCTATCAGTGCTGCCAATCAATGCCACCTATCAGTGCCAGTCAGTGACGCCTATCAGTGCCAGTGAGTGACACCTATCAGTGTGCAACAGTGCCACCTATCAGTGCCCGTCAGTGCTGCCTATCAGTGCCGCCATCAGTGCCAGTCAGTGCCAGCTAACAGTGCCAGTCAGTGCCACCTATCAGTGCCAGTCAGTGCCGCCTATCAGTGCTGCCTGTCAGTGCCATATATATGAGTGCTGCCGTTCAGTGCCCATCAGTGATTCCTGTCAATGCCCATCAGTGCCACCTACCAGTGCCTCCTCATCAGTGCCACCTATCAGTGTCCATCTGTGCAGCCTATCAGTGCCCATCACTACAGCCTCATTAGCGCACATCAGTGAAGGAGAAAATTCACTTATTTCCAAAATTTTATAACAAAAACTAAGAAAAAAAACATTTTTTTTCAAAATTTTCAGTGGTTTTTGGTTTGTTTAATAAAAAATAACCCAGAGGTGATTAAATACCACCAAAATAAAGCTCTATCTGTCACAAAAAAAATTATACAAATTTCATATGGGTACAGTGTTGCATGACCGTGCAATTGTTATTCAAAGTGTGACAAAGCTGGAAATTGGCCTGGGCAGGAAGGGGGTATAAGTGCCCTGTAGGCAAGTGGTTAAAATCTATACCAGATCTGTAGCTACAGCAAAAGTGACATTTACAAAGGAAGTAAACAAAATTGCTGGCAAATGACATTTCGTCACAGATTCTTTTTTAAATGTCATTTGCTGGCCATTTTAAACAATTTCTTTCTTTGCAAATCTCAGTGCTGATGTAGCACTCTCTCTGCATCACAGAGATGCGCTCCCTTCACAGAAAGAGCGGGCAGCCCCTCAGGTATGATATGTAAAGGGACTGGGCATTTTAATGTTTTATCTTAAACATTTAAAATAAATCTCTCTATTTTTTTTTTTTTGCATTGGCACATGTTCCCAAGGGCAGTGTCCACCTCCAAGCTATTTTTTGATACCCCCTTACCTATCAACCCAGAAAATTTACATTTTTAATATGACAGATTTGGCTCCCATTGATTTCAATGGGAATCTGAACTTCTTTGAAGTTTGACAAACATTTGATACTTAATGCATTTATTGGATTTTTAGATTTATGTATCTCACCCATCCTGTAAGTGGAGAGTGGAGTGTTTAAAAAAAAAATTTTTTTTTGCTTGTTTTTGGGAATGCTAAAGTTATTTTGTTATAATGTAAGATGCAACCTTCCCTTCTTTTGTCATTTTGTAATCACGAGGAGGATTTTGTGTTAAAGACTGTGAGTTACCCAGTGATTCCAGCCTTTTGAAGCTTTAAAGCCTCTCTGTGTTTTTGGTTAATATAATGTGGTAAATATGTGAGGGTGTACAAATCATGTAAATATTGCATTGGGAAAAACTAAAGGAAATTAATTTCTTCCACTTTTTACTATTTATTTCCAAGGAAATACAAATATATATATATATATATATATATATATATATATATATATATATATATATAACTGTACATATACATTATATTGCCAAAAGTATTGGGACACCCCTCCAAATCATTGGATTCAGGTGTTCCAATCACATCCATGGCCACAGGTGTATAAAATCAAGCACCTAGGCATGCAGACTGCTTCTACAAACATTTGTAAAAGAATGGGTCGCTCTCAGAAGCTCAGTGAATTCAAGCGTGGTACTGTGATAGGTTGCCACCTGTGCAATAAGTCTATCTGTGAAATTTCCTTGCTACTAAATATTCTACGGTCAACTGTTAGTGGTATTATAACAAGTGGAAGCAACCGGGAACAACAGCAACTCAGCCACAAAGTTGTAGGCCACATAAAATGACACAGCAGGGTCAGCACATGAAGTGCACAGTGCGCATAAGTCGCCAACTGTCTACAAAGTCAATAGCTAAAGACCTCCAAGCTTCATGTGGCCTTCAGATTAGCACAACAACAGAGAGCTTCATGGAATGGGTTTCCATGGCCGAGCAGCTGCATTCAAGCCTTACATCACCAAGTGCAATGCAAAGTGTCAGATGCAGTGGTGTAAAGCACGCCACCACTGGACTTTAGAGCAGTGGAGACATGTTCTCTGGAGTGACAAATCACACTTCTCTGTCTGGCAATCTGATGGACGTGTCTGGGATTGGTGGTTACCAAGAGAATGGTACTTGCCTGACTGCATTGTGCCAAGTGTAAAGTTTGGTGGAGGAGGGATTATAGTGTGGAGTTGTTTTTCAGGGGTTGGGCTTGGTTCCAGTGAAGGGAACTCTTAAGGCGTCATCGTAACAAGACATTTTGGACAATTTCACGCTCCCAACTTTGTGGGAACAGTTTGGGGCTGGCCCCTTCCTGTTCCAACATGACTGCGCACCAATGCTCAAAGCAAGGTCCATGAAGACATGGATGAGCGAGTTTGGGATGGAGGAACTTGACTGGCCTGCACAACCCGATAAAGTACCATTAGAGATGAATTAGGGCGGAGACTGCGAGCTAGACCATCTCATCCGACATCAGTGCCTGACCTCACAAATGCACTTCTAGAAGAATGGTCAAACATTCCCATAGACACACTCCTAAACCTTGTGGGCAGCCTTCCCAGAAGTGTTGTATCTGTTATAGCTGCAAAGGGTGGGCAAACTCAATATTGAACCCTAAGGACTAAGACTAGAATGTCATCAAAGTTCTTGTGCGTGTAAAGGCAGGCAAACCAATGTTTTTGTCAATGTAGTGTTTATACAGATTTGCTACCAAATTAGTTCTATCCATCCCAAAAAAAACTATTACGGGGAGAGGGGGATTATCAAAACTGGAGCTGACAGAATCTGGAGCAGCTGTGCATGGCAACCAATCATCTTCTATCTGTAGCTTGTTCAGTTAAAGAAGGAGTAAAGGCTACATATATGTAAATATGCTTAAAGCCACTGCTACCCCACCCCCTCCCTGTGCCTACCTATGCTGTGGACCACTGGTAAAAAAGCTCAGTGTAAATACCTCAGAGCCTCCTGAGGTTCTCACCCCAACTGTGCCAATGCGTGGATGGTGTTCAGAAGCCATATCCTTCCTTCCTTCATGACTGTGTATGATTAATCCCTTTTCTTCCAAGAGTATTCACACATTAAGTTCAAGCACCAGGTTTGCTTTTGGGTTTAATACTGCTTTAATGCTTGGAGGTGCTTGTGCTTTCAGCATATGATTAAGTTGATCTGTTCCAATGCTCTTCATATTTCCACTTATTCCACTAATCACCTCTGTGGAGGGTAGAATGAAGGGAAACATCATCTCCTGGACTTAGTCTTTTTATTGGGTTCTTATTCAGTTCAAGATGAGGATCATCTAGATATCCAATGTGGTGGACCCCTCTGCAGCCCCTTGCCCAGTTTCCTCTCCTCTGCTTCCCTGGTCAGCAGGACCCAGATTCCCAGCTCCACCCAGAAGCCACTTCTGAAACGGGAGGAACATCCTTAAAAGGAACTTGACTAAACTCTACTTGCCTACATATGTACAGTTTTGTCACTCTCAAACAAGAAGCAGGGTCTGGACTGAAAAACTGGGAGGATCAATAAGTATGTTTTCAATGAAAATGAGGGAGAAATTTCCACTTAAGAGTAAACTGCATTCTGTACACTGTAAGGGGTCTATTTATAAAAAAATTGTTGGATGAACATGACAAGCATTTGCCTATCCTTGATGAAGTCTGGCCATATTTTGCTTAATATACATATCACTGTCTTATACCTATGAAGAAGTAGTGTTGTCACCTTAGGACGGAACTACAGAATGCTGCATCACAGGCTCCCTCCATACTATAAGACAAGCTGCTACAAACTCTTCTTTAAGGTGCCCTGGCAGTTGCAAGAACTTTGATGTCATCAAATACAACGCAGGACCAACAGCACCGTATGTGAGGACATCAAGGGACTGTCCACAAGCCAGAGCTTCAGGGAGAATAGGTGAGCATAAGCTGCCAATGGAGCAAGGGATAAGGTAAGTAAAAGTCCTTCTTACTGGTACCCCAGATATAAACAAGCATTTAACCCTTGCATTGAAGTTGGAACCCCACTACAAAAGGATTTCTTTATTTTCTCCAGAGTCCATCTTTAAATCCTACTGATAAACAATAAAAATTGAAGTGTTTTCATCAAACAGTATGGTATTAAAGAAGCACCTAACATTGCCAATCAATGCGCACGTTATTGATCTAATGTAGCATAACAGCTTAAACAGCAAGGCTCATGGATGTTTTAGTACTGTCTCCAAATGTCTTTTATCTCCTTTCTGTTAACATTGAAAAGCCATCTGTGATCAAACCCCAAAATTAATCATTAATATATGAAAACAACTTTAGAAACGTACCACCCGTGTCTTTCAAACACAGTTTTGATGTGTATTTTTCTGTGATCCATAATATTCTATATACTGTTTTCATTTAGGAGGTTTGTATTATGAAAAATGTATGTATGGCTGCAGAAAATATAAACTGTTGGATCTACTGTTATTATTTTTGTTATTTTACACAACGTATTGAACTGAAATGCATGTTCATTATACAAAGCATGTACTATAATGTATTATTTTTCTACTCATGATATACGGTACATTAGATAAATAGTTTTTTATTACATGTTAAGATTTCACTGACATTTTATGTTAGCTAATGTATTATTACTGAACAAATGCATGCTTACCATGTTGGGTAACACCATAATGTTCTATATATCATGAAATAAAAAAAATATAAAATTAAGAAATCATAAACATTTTAAAGCCACTGCTGTGTAATTACCTTTTGCATTTTAACCTCCATTATTTTGCAAGTTATCGTGCAATATCAGTGCAATGAAACAACTGTGGTTCACTGAATTGTGTGTCTGTTGGCTTCTACTGTATTATGCATTGGAGTAACATTTTAATTGAACTAGAATGAAACATACTGCACAGTGCTGTACAGTACCATGCATTGCAGTAAAGAGTAGTAAAATGCGTAAAATGATTCCTTATAATAGGACAACTTTCTTAAAGCGGAACTTCATTCTTCCAATCAACATTGACTATTTTCAATCCTTATGCTGCTAATATTAGTAATAAGATAGGAAAGTATATCATATTTGCTTGTTTTAAACT